CTTCCTTGGGTTTCTGAGGCAGTATTACTACAGAAGTAGATTGCCCAACCTTCATTCTGAGGAGTGGCTGGTGGGTTTGAACCACCGGCCTTCTGGTTAGCAGCCAAGTGTCTTAGGCACTATGCTACCAGAGCTCCTAGAGTCCTCATTGTCTGGGTGCAGATCTCTCTGCTTCAACTGGCTGTCTGGGTGAGATGCTGAACGAGCATTGACTCTCCTAGGTCTTGGTTTCCTCACCTGAAAGTGTGGTGGGGTAATTGTCCTTACCACAAATGATTTTGAATTTTGAATGAAAGTACTAGGATTTGCTTCAAGAACAGAATAGGAGATCAGGAAAAGCTTTTTCTTGGAAGAAGGTAGAGTAGCCTTGAGTAGACCCTCTCACAATTCATTGGTCATAAAAATCATTTGGAGAAGATTGAAAGAACCCAGAGTCCTGGTTCCCACAAGAGCTTCTGATTTCAGCAAACCTGAGTTTGGAGCCTTGGAATCTGAACATTAAACAAACACTAATCTGAATGTTGAATCCAGGTGATCTGATACAGGATTTGAGGAGTACAGGACTAGTGGCAGTTCTGATGATTAGAGTGATTATTGGCATGAACCAGGACTGAGATTCCAGACATGGTCTTGGCCAGAGACATAAAGGTGGGCTCTCTCTTCTAGCGTTTCCATCTCAAAAGCAAGGCTTCTTTCCCAGAAGCACCACAGATGGTCTCCCCTTGTTTCTTTGGCCATAAATTAATCACATGTCCACTCCTAAACTACTCACTATCCCACAGTTCATGTAAAGTAAGCAGGATGTCCCTCTTAGATCAGGAGAGAGTCACTTTCCTGGGGGGGGGGGGCGTCTGTTGCTGGGAAGAAGTAGAGAACAGATGCCTTGAGGCTACCAACAATGGATCTACACTTAGCCTAGTTGTTGGAAATTTGAAATCAGAGAAACTAGGTTGACATCCTTGTTGTACCTCTTAGCACTTAAGTGACCATGGGCAGAAATCGTGATTGCTTTGAGTCTCAATTTTCTTTTCTGTAAAATGGAAATATTTTGTTTTATACACATAAAAGGCAATGA